GGGGGGCAAAACTGGACACAATACTTAAGGTGTGGCTTCACCAATGCCGAATAGAGGGGAATAATCACTTCCCTCGATCTGCCGGCAATGCTTCTACTAATACAGCCCAATATGCCGTTGGCCTTCTTGGCAACAAGGGCACACTGCTGACTTATATCTAGCTTCTCGTCCACTGTAATCCCCAGGTCCTTTTCTGCAGAACTGCTGCTTAGCCAGTCGGTCCCCAACATGTAGCGGTGCATGGGATTCTTCCTTCCTAAGCGCAGGATTCTGCACTTGTCTTTGTTGAACCTCATCCGATTTCCTTTGGCCCAATCCTCCAATTTGTCTAGGTCACTCTGGGCCCTATCCCTACCCTCCAGCATATCTACCTCTCCCCACAGCTTAGTATCATCTGCGAACTTGCTGAGGGTGCAATTCATCCCATCATCCAGATCACTAATAAAGATGTTGAACAAAACCAGCCCCAGGACCGACCCCTGGGGCACTCCGCTTGATACCGGCTGCCAACTAGACATCGAGCCATTGATCACTACCCGTTAAGCCCGACAATCTAGCCAGCTTTCTATCCACCTTATAGTCCATTCATCCAATCCATACTTCTTTAACTTGCTGGCATGAATACTGTGGGAGACCGTATCAAAAGCTTTGCTAAAGTCAAGATATCATATCCACCGCTTTCCCCATATCCACAGAGCCAGTTATCTCATCATAGAAGGCAATCAGGTTGGTCAGGCATGACTTGCCCTTGGTGAATCCATGTTGATTGTTCCTGATCAACTTCCTCTCCTCCAAGTGCTTCAAAATGGATTCCTTGAGGACCTGCTCCATGATTTTGCCGGGGACTGAAGTGAGGCTGATTGGTCTGTAGTTCCCCGGGTTCTCTTTCTTCCCTTTTTTAAATATGGGCACTATATTTGCCTTTTTCCAATCGTCCAGAACCTCCCTGATCACCACGAATTTTCAAAGATAATGGCCAATGGCTCTGCAATCACATCAGCCAACTCCCTCAGCACTCTTGGATGCATTAGATCTGGACCCATGGACTTGTGCATGTCCAGTTTTTCTTAATAGTCCTTAACTTGTTCTTTCACCACTGAGGGCTGCTCACCTCCTCCCCATACTGTGTTGCCCAATGCAGCAGTCTGGGAGCTGACCTAGTCTGTGAAGACCGAGGCAAAAAAAAAACATTGAGTACTTCAGCTTTTTCCACATCATCTGTCACTAGGTTGCCTCCCCCATTCAGTAAGGGTCCCACACTTTCCCTGACCACCTTCTTGTTGCTAACATACCTGTAGAAACCCTTATTGTTACCTTTCACATCCCTTGCTAGCTGCAACTCCAATTGTACCTTGGCCTTCCTGATTACACCCCTGCATGCTCTAGCAATATTTTTATACTCCTCTCTAGTCATCTGTCCAAGTTTCCTTTTTGTAGTTTAAGCTCACCGAAGATTTCACTGTTAAGCCAAGCTGGTCGCCTGCCATATTTGCTATTCTTTCTGCACATCGGGATAGTTTGTTCCTGTGCCCTCAATAAGGCTTCTTTAAAATACAGCCAGCTCTCCTGGACTCCTTGCCCCCTCATATTAGCCTCCCAGGGGATGCCCATCAGTTCCCTAAGGGAGTCTAAGACTGCTTTTCTGAAGTCCAGGGTCCATATTTTGCTACTCTCCTTTCTTCCTTTTGTCAGGATCCTGAACTCAACCATCTCATGGTCACTGCTGCCTAGGTTGCCACTCACTTCTACTCCCCTACCAGTTCTTCCCTGTTTGTGAGCAGCAGTTCAAGAGGAGCATGGCCCCTAGTTGGTTCCTCCAGCACTTGTCCCCAACACTCGCCAGAAACTTCCTGGATTGTCTGTGCACTGCTATATTGCTCTCCCAGCAGATGTTAGGGTGACTGAAGTCCCCCATTAGAACCAGGGCTTGTGATCTGGAAACTTCAGTTGTCTGAAGAAAGCCTCATCTACCTCATCCCAATATAGGCTGCTAGCTTCTCATCTTTGAATAAGTGTGAATTTTGAATTAGTTTGTGGTGGTATCCTAGTTTTCATTTGTACAAATCACTGTCCATGCAGTTTACTGGACTAATCTTTGCAGTCTTGAGATAATCAGGATGTTGAAAGGAGACCTGAGGTTCACTGGCAGAGCGGTGCTAGGGAAGCTTGGACAGACCTGCACCACTACAGTTGAGGAGACAAGACCAGACTTATCAATTGCCAAGGAAGATGTTTGACTCCCCATTCAGGAACACGGGACTAGCACCTTGGCCAAGCTTTTACACCAAAAGCTACTAGCACTGTTTTACAGCTCTTGGGAGAGAGTTCTGCCATCATTCTGCAGCATATTCAGTATCCTAAGGAAAAACCCTGGTACACATTAGAACCTGCCAGAGCTGTTATGATCCACCAGGCAAGAACTCTGGAATCTAGGGCTCTTTGTTCTGACTCTCCCAAGAGCAAGAGAGTGGCTAAAGTATAGCATTAAATAGGAGCATAAAGCTATTTGTAAGCAATATGATTTACTTCAGCACCTAGAACAGTGGGGCCCAACCTTTAGACAGTACTGCAATATAAATGTAAATAATAGAATGATCTTCCGTGTAAGATTTTTCTCTATGTGATGGGCAGAAAAGCCGTTCATATCCTAAAAAAAAAATCTGCAAGGCAGCAGCTTGCTCATCTTGTCACTCATTTGCTAGACAGTAGGTGAAGCAGATGGACACTGCTTTTGGTAGGAGGGTCTTGGATACTGTGGTAGCACCGTGAGTCTTTGAAAGATATTGCACACCTGGATTTGGGAGGATGGGGAAGAGGAGAGGAGGAAGAGATCATTTTGCTATCCTAAGGATTTCTCTTCTGTGACTACACAATGCTCTTCATTCTAACCCACCCTATACTTAAAAGGACAAAGTCGCTATGCTCAGTAGATGGCTTTAATCAGGAGAAGCTAATGATTAGTTAGTTATCTGATAAAGTAAAGCTATTTTTTCCCACTTTAAAGCATACAGACTGGATTATGTTTCCAAGTGAGCAGTCCAGCCTCCTTCCTTGTGATTGAGAAGTCTAGCTTTGTAGAAAAAGATAAATGATGAGGTATTAATTTTACCCATCCGTCATTATCATAAGCACAAAGTTCTTAAGAGGCTTATGATGGTTGGGGAGAGAAAGTTTGAGGCAAACAGGTAGAGATGTGGGCTTAGTTGCAACTGGTGTGTGTTATTGATATAATTCTTTTGGAATATAACATTTCTTGACACATTTAAAGTTTCAGTTGCCTTAGATAAGTTACCTGCAGTATTGCCGTGTTCCTGGATATATTTAGTATGAAGTATAACGATAATTACAAGTTCTGAGGTAATGTTACCTAAAGCAAAAGGCTTTTAATGGCAATCACTGTACGCTGGTCTTGTGCAATAAACTGAGCATCAGGAAAATTAAGGTTAGCTTATCTATAGCCAAATGTACAGAGAGGTGGACATAAGTCTTGAAACCTGGCAAGATACAAACCCCAGTTGTTTAAGAATCTGACCTATATTACAGTGTATTTTGTCTAAGGCAGTGGTTCTCAAACTATTTTTTTCAAGGACCACTTGAAAATTGCTGAGGGTCTCGGCAGACCACTTAATGATCTTTCCAAATATTGTTTGTACCATTAACTAACTATTGTAAAGCACTTTGGATAAAATTGCTATATAAAAAAAAACCTTAATATATTTTTGTTCTACAAATAAAAGCACACAACTCATATATTTTAATATCAGTAGTCTTACCTTTCTAATGCGATGGATGTGCCCTTTCTCCCCCGCTGCGGCGGCCCCTGAGCTGGGGCTGGGAGGGGGGGGTGTCGCTCCCCTGCCACAGCAGTCACAGAGCTGAGGCTGGGAAGGAGGGCCGTCTCCCCCAGCAGCCCTGGAGCTGGGGAAAGTCGCCTCTTTCTCTGGCCACTACAGCCCTGCTCATCCCAACTTCCCTCCACCCCCTCTTCTCACTCCACTGCCCCCTCCCAACTACCCCCTATTCCCCCCCAAGGCCACCACCTCACCTTACACGTGCATCTTCTCCAGGGTCCAGGCATCTAATTAGTGGAGCCACACCTGCGCGGCTCCACTAATTAGGTGGCCCTTCATTCTCTTGTGTGCGGCCACCCAGACATGCACCTTAGAGGGAACTATCTGTGAACCACTTGCATGGAGCTCGCAGACCACTGGTGGTCCACGGACCGCAGTTTGAGAACCTCTGGTCTAAGGCCAATTTTAGACGAGATATAGTGCTGACCATTTCAGTGTAATCTTTCCGTATAATACAATATGTGGCAGCAAAACCACATACGGTAGTACTGTGCTCTACATGTGTTGTTGTAACAGTCTGATTGCTGCACACTGCCCTCCATGTGTTTTATTACTGCACATGGGTGGGGTTGGGTGTATAAAATCCTCTGATTTAGACAAATATATCATTGCTGTAGAAGGCTTTCGAAAAGAGAGTTTAAGGGCACTTTTTGTAAATCGGTGCCTTCTCAGCTCAGACAGTCGTGTAAACAAGCTTGTGTTAATGTTAAACTTACATTACTATTTACAGTGATGTAAACTGAAGCGTAAATTGTCAGTGTACATTATGTAAATAATGTTAAAAGCTTGGTTTGCACACATTTTCATAGCACTTATGGTTTAAATAAAGTACACTAACCGATCACGTGTAAAGTATAGTAAGTGACATTTGTCAGGAGTGAGATCTGCCTTAGCAGAAAAAGTGAACGTGTGACAGAGAGAGGCTAGTTACCTACTTAGAATTCATGATCCTTCTCTGAGAGAACTGGCACATGCATGATATTTCCTTAGAAATAAAAAGTTTATCTATCCCCTTGGGCCCTGAGATTTGGATACATCAGCATACATGTTAGCCAAGCAAAATATACCACAGACTTCCCCACAATGAGGAAGACTCTCAGCAGGGTCATTATCAGCTAGTCAGGATTTACCATCTCCTTTGTGCCAGCATGAAGGACCATCAAGGTAAACTCCTTACCCAGGTGAAACGGGAGTATTTGTGAAATTTATAAAATATTCTTTTATAAACAAAGCCAATATGCATATAGATAGGCTTAATTGCAAACTGGATGGAACCTCAAAATGTCAGTCTCTCTTCACATATATTGAATTTCTGGAATCGGTCCCTCTTAGTGCAGTACCAGTTTTCTCACTGCTCTTTCAAGCATCAATTTTTCCCCTGGTTCGTTGTCTGGAATCATGTCTGCACTTCTCTCTGCTTTCAGCATTACTGAAGGACATTTTTCCTGGACTGTCTCCAGACCAGCCTGAGTTATGTTCCGGCAGAAATCCACATGGAGGGTTTGTAAAGAGCCCCCATAGAGGGTCACAGCTTCCAGAGTCCGGTCAGTGATCCGCACACAGTTTTCCAGTTTGAGTATCTTGAGGTTTGGGCAGCTCTTGAGAAGCAACAACAGGTAATCATCTGTGACATGGCCACATCCAGAAAGGGTCAGGGACAGCAAGTTTGGGCACCTGAAAACATGGTTATTGTATGTGAGACAGAAGAATAATGTGTAGAATCTGCAAAAGCAATTTCCACTTAGAGATTCCCAAAATCAAGTTCTGAAAAGCAATGCAAAGCAAGCTCTTCCAGCAATGGTCTGGGAATCAAGACATTTGGGTTATAAATCCTGAATCTACCACTGACTTGCTGGGCGACCTCACAGAAGTCACTTGACCTGAATAAATGGGCTGAGGCAGAGAGAAGTCAACAACAACCTCTGAACCCTGCTCCTAGTGCCCTCGCACATTAGGGAATTCCAGCATCAGGTCCTGGGCAGAGATTTTAATGGATACCTGCTCTGAAATGACTTTGGTTGGCTGATAATAGCAAGAGTGAAGGAGCTGGCTTGGCCCTTCCTGGAAGATAAGTATTGTGACTGCAACTCAGAGAGAGAAATGGTCATCCCCCAGAATTAAGGAGCAGGGATAAATATGGACTGATATTAAGTTGGGGCCAACTTAACTGAGTAATTCATTGGATTTGATCAAAACTGCTTGGTTTTACTTAATATGTACACATCCTTTATCCTCCCCAGTAGCCACAATATTGAACCACCTGCAAATATTAACACACACTCCGCAAAGGGAGGAAAGGAGCACAGAGTAATTTTGCTTTTAAACTACTGCATAACAGATAACAGTCAAGGTCTAATAACTAGATGTATGGAATCCACTCTCCTAATAAGTTTCATTTAAACCCTGCCCAGAGGCAAATGCAGAATCTTATGAGGACACTTGTGCCAAATGCTAACAAAAAGGATCAGTGTCATTTTTCCTGTTTCCCTTCTATTAGCTCGAGAGTGACCTGTGCTAAATGTATGTAAAAACTGGCAGGACTGGCAGCTTCAGGATCAGAAGTCGGTGGGAGATCTGGCCTCTTTGCAGACATACAACCCTTCCATCCGAAGTGATTTTTGACAGCTTCCTCGGGGAAGCAGTTTTAAAAGCACTGGTTTTACTATCTAATTTATTCAACTAAATCAGTTTTGAGATGGAGCTCCTATCGGATTGTTTGGATGGAATCGGACTACAGAAGTGCTTAATGCAACTTCTGATGGGATTGATATGCAATTCTGCAGCCAGAGTGGATGCTGTTGGAATCTCTGGAATTGAAGAATACACACCCGCACCATTTCCCGCTCCCAGCCTCAACAATCATTTTGCTAATTAAAACCAAATTAACTGGAAACTTTTCTTTAAAACTAGCTCTATCACAGTCACTTTTGTGATACAGGTACAGCCTTAGATATACATGGCTTGGAGAGAGCCACCATTTCCAACTCTGCCTGCCTCTGCGAAGAAAAAAACAAAAAAAGTAATCAGTCTGAGACTCTACCATCATCCATTTGATTCCCTGTTGCTCTGACCATCTTTTGCACCTGGCCAACAGGTGTTTATATACAATACAAATTCAGAGCTAGTGCAAGCTAAAAGGCCGCAAATATTAAAGTATTTCTAGCTCTCACGTTCTCTCTTGTCCCATCGGTCACTTAGAACTGCAGGCTCTGCAGCATAAGCACACGGTTTAAGGCGCAGGTGGTGGAAATCTTAGTTTTTAATTCCAGATCTAATCTAGCAGCAGCAATTTTCTGTTGTTGCTAAATTGTACAAGAAATGGCTGTGCCGCCGCATCGTTTGCTGTTTGGATTGGTGTTTGCTTTTGTCTTTGTAATTTACTTTAGCTAGCACAGCTCAAAGCTGCTGATGCAGTTGGTTTGCACTGAGGTCTGCTTTTCCTCACTATACTGTCTCCTTGTCTGTATGACCTCCAAAGTAGTTTATATAAAGCTCAGAAATATATTTATAATCACTCAACCTCAGCATAGCTAACATGGGCATCATCATTTTACAGAGAAATAAAGTTAGGCTGCTCTAACACAGAATAAAATGATGTAAACCTTAGATCCATTCTACCTTCACATGTATCTGCCTGTTACTTGTGAGGAAAAGTGGAATTTGAGCTTACCAACATGTTTAGGGAGATGCCAGTTTTATTCATAAAAAAGAATCTCCCTCTCTTAGAGATTCAATCTCTTGCTCCATTTCTGAGGATATTTTTGTCCTGCGCAGAAGGTGTTATTAAATAGTTACTTAGTCACATGTTTTTAGCATGTATTGTCACTAATATCCTGGGAATGTCACATGCATTTGTCAAGCAAATGAGGGCTGAGGGAAGCCCAGTAAAATTCAACAGAAAGATGCACTACGTTTTCACTAAAACCAATTTCTTATGTGATGCTAAAACTAAATAATGGTGTTCCAAAGCCAAAATGTTTTGGTATTTAGTGTTCTGTTCCAGAAAGGATGTGTAAACAGTTAAAAGCTTCAGTGCTTTCAATTTAATGACCTTAAACTTTACATTAGATGTAAAATTTCACACCCCAAGAACATACCTGTTGCAAACTTGTATTAAAAAATCATTGACAGCATTTTCATGCTTACGACAGATGTCTTTCTGGAATGTGTTTTTCATCCAGTCCTCAATGTTACACACCTTGACTCTGCTTGAATGCCAGCAGATGGACAGGTACCGTAAAGCTGGTCCCAAGAGAAAATTATCCTTCTTTAGTTCCACAGGAGAATGGAAATTCAGTACAGGCCACAGAAAAGGATCCTGAAACACTTCTAGCAATTTGTGACATGTCTTGGCTAAACTCTTTCTACTGTTTTTGTCCAGGAAAGAAAATAGGTGCAAAAGGCATTCCCGATTAAGCTGGGTTATATGCATAGCCCGTGCAGAGCCGTGCTCTTAGGAAAGAGGATCGTATATTCTTGCAGAGTGGACTAACAGCAATACTGGAGGGGCCTGACCAGCCTCAGAATCACCACTGGGCTGTTGAACATATATGGTTGTGGAATGGTGTTTATTTTTGGCCAACAACTGGTGCAGGAGTTAAAAAAAAAAAAAAAAGGAAGCAGCTCAGAGTCCCACGTGCACCAGGCTGTTGCTCCATTTCTCGTCCAGGGGAATGGACCGGCCAAGTAGAAAAGAAGCAATTGAGTTAAATCAAATGTTTCCTTAAAAGGAATTATTTTCCTTTTGTCAATCCTGATGTTTAGCAAAGGGCTTGAGGCAGTTTAAATGAACTCCTAGTAGCCACAGCTGCAAAGGAAAAGCTGTGCAGACCTCTGCTTTGGGTGAAAACCATGATATTCTCAACACTATTGTTTTAGCCTTGTTAGAAAATACTGACTATTCTAGGGGGCCTTGCTTATATCCTAACAGGCCCAAGGATCAGGTCATGTATTATTGATGATGGGCTTTAAAAATACCTTGAACTAGATGTGGTGTTCAATAAGCATATAGTAAAACACACTTGAGCCAAGCAAATCTTAAGTGATTGGAAACATGTATCTAGTGTGAATCTCTAAGCCAAACCCGCACATTGATAGCTTTAAATACATCAAAGGGTTTTAAGGTTTCTATTTACCTGAATTGAGCACCAGTGTAATTCCCTGCTTGCTGCCACTTTAATGATTAAAGGCCATTGCCTGTTGTAATTGTTATATCTCCTATCACAGCAAGGAGATCAGAACAACAGTTCTCAAAAGTGGGCTTTTAGAGAGGGAGTCCACATGACGTATCCGACATGGATGGATTCATGACCCTGATCTAAAACTTACCTTGAAGAGAACTACAGACAATGTCTGCAGTTCTCGCTCAGGTTCATGCCTGTCCTGCTGGCCATTCTCAAGAGGGTGAGTTAGCCACTTTCCTGCTGAGTCATTGCATTTTAAGATACAGAATTTGTGATTTAGCCATGTTATATAGTAAGTAAATTGTTCTGAACACCTCCAGTCACTTGTTATTAGTCTCCATTCAAATAAGTAAGTTAAAAAGTTTTACCATCTCTGTAACCATGACAGAAAGAAAACTTTACTAAGCCCTTTCCAAAGACACTAGCAATTTTTGCCTGAGTTAATGAATCTAGTGTCTAGATTGTTTTCCATCTCATTAATGGAATAATACCTCCTTGCTATTTTTATGCTTTTTGTCTTTGGTTTGTATGTGGCAATTAACAGATGAATATTAATGTACCTTGTGAGGTAATGGGATAAATTACCCAGCCTGGCTTCAGCCTATGCTCATCAACACCACTAAACTGTTGCTAGAGCCCTTGATCTAGGCATGGGAGAAGTAGACTGTTTGAAAGTGGAAAAAAGTACTGTAAAAATATAAAGCGGCAGTTAGGTGATGTCTAATCTCTGACAACAAAAAGTCTGGGGTTGGGTTTGCAGTTGGTACTAGGCAGCAACAGCACCCTCACTCGAAGGTGTGACCCAGCCTTTACTTCAGTAGATTTTAAACAAGATCTTTTTCACTTGTATAGCACAAAAGGTCTTTGAAAAGAGGTGGTTGGGGTGAGGAACAGGGAATCAGTGTGATTACACACAATTGTAGCTGTTGATATTCTAATAGAAGAAAAAATCCTATGTCTCTCTGAATGCAGTATTGTTCCTTTCAATGTATTTATAAGTACATGGGCCAGTTGGCTTTTAAAGACATCCAGCACTGGAGCCTCTTCCTGCTTCATTTAGGAGACTTTCCCAGCACAAAATGAATGAGGCTGTGTTAAGGTTTTCCTGCTAGTCATCAGAAATGTCCTTACATTACTTCTAATTTTTTTGCCTCCTTGGAGTTTGCCCACAAGTAATTGGAGGCCATTATGTCAGTTATCAAGCCTTTTTGTTCCAAAAGCACTAAGTGAACACCTAGCTACTGAAACAATGGAGAAAAGGCCTACGTGTGGTAGCATTGTTCATGCATTATCCCCCATAAGGGTCTACATGCAGGGTAGAAAGTGGTGCATGAAAATAACAGCTCTACCATCAGAAGGGGCTTAGGTCTGCACATCTCTGATAGTGGAGGGGGCTGCAGCAAAAATGGTCTAACTCATTAGTGCACCATTGCTAAATGTGGTGGTAATTAAGCAGGCACCAGCTCCAAGCTGCTGTTGGCTTGAACAAAAGGATTGTGGGAAGATAATATCAATGGTTGGATTTGGAAAGGAAGATGCTGAACAGAGACACACTGACCAATCACTAACTGGGAGGCCCTGTAGTGCCACCTCCATTTACAATATTTTTCCAGCAACGATTTGTTAGTGAAGGCACTTTGAGCCTCTTGTGGAGACCAATCTACCATGATTTTGTAAAGTGTCCTCCTGAATTACTGAAGTGCTCACAGGAGAGAAGTGAAATTTGAAAAACAGGTAGCTGGTAAGACTGTTTTCAGTGGCAAGGCCATAGAAAAGGACTAAATATATTGTGGAGTTTGATACTAAAGATGGCAATTTTGCATAGCTAGCTGAATCTCAATCCATTATAAATTACTTATTCTCCTCTAACACAGCTATGCTAAACCTAAATTGTCAGTTTGCACAGGGTTTAATAGGCACTAATAACTTCTGGGATTTGAGTACAATCAGTAAATAAGTAATATGGCTACAGTTACACTTTGAATTGAGCTTAGTTGCATTTAACTCCTTTCCCTAGAGGCACCTTGAAATTGTCTCTTTCTGTTAGGATCTTTCAAGACTTAGGCTACATCCTCACTACAGGGGGGGGTTGATTTAAGATACGCAAATGCAGCTACACGAATAGCGATGTATCGCAGCCGACTTACCCTGCTGTAAGGACAGTGGCAAAATCGACCTCTGCGGCTTCCCGTCGACGGCGCTTACTCCCACCTGGTGGAGTAAGAGCGTCGATTCGGGGATCGATTGTCGTGTCCCGACAGGACGCAATAATTCGATCCCCGAGAGGTTGATTTCTACCCGCTGATTCAGGCGGGTAGTGTAGACCTAGCCTTAGGCTATGGATTTCAATCTGTTCTTAGGCCTTCTCTACACCCCCTCTTCATCCGACTAGTGCTGTCTACATCTGGGGTTAAGTTGGCATGGAGGGGTATGGAATTTTCACATGTGTGCTGCAGGAGGGTGACAACTTTTAGCATAGGCCAGGCCTCATGCACTGGGTGTGTGTGTGTGTCCTCTTCACAAGGAATTGTTAATTTCTATATAGGCCTTTGTATATAATTCCTGTTTCATAGCATGAGCCAGTTGCTCGGGGTGGATGAGAAGGGGGCTTTTGCCCAGCAACTAATAAGAGGCATTTCAAAACAGGAGGATGTGACATCTTTGCCATCTATTCTGTGGTTTTACAGTAACAGTAGTTAAGGAAAGGGGGGGAAGGAATGTTGCCCCACACACTGCTTTTACTTGTGAACAAACAGCACCTGCTGATAAAGGGTTTTTGCTTTTGTGATAACTCTGTGCAGAACTGTATACGGTCAGGGCCATGCACATGGTGTATTCCTTTTGGTATAAATGTATATGCCCGGTGGAAGTTAAGTGCACTGTAAACATGCCAGATCCCAAGTAAGTCAGAGGCTAAATAGCAAATAGACATATCTAAAGAAGTTTTGAAAAAATGCTTTTGTCATCAGCTATTTTTCAGGAGGTAAAGAAGCTGATTCTATTGCCCCTGCACAAGATTCTAAAGAGCAGTTTTACTCACACCGCGTAATAATATGCTGAGAACCTGGGGCAGGATAGGAAGCTTTTCACATTCTAAAGAGAGCCTTTAATGGCACATTTTCCATAAAAACATTTTATGATTGAGTTGTTACTTGCATTCACCCCATTAATGCACAGTCAATGGTCCTCACAGAAACTTACACATTAATGGTAAACAGTTACATCTATGGCACTACAGTACTTGAGGATATTCTAAAGCACAATGGAACAAGAGTTTTCAAGGTGCTGATTACCTCATTAGTAAGATACAGACACATCAGTAATGAAATAGCATTAGGCAAACTTTTGAACAAGTCTCATGCTTTCCATCCATTCAGCAAGTCTTACAAATGGCTTTCTGCTTTTGATACAGGTCCGCACTGCCCTGCACCATCAAGAAAAAGATTTAAACTCACTCCACATGACATCAATGATCACTAGGAAAAGCACCTTCTGAATGTACTCCTTGTAGGAGCTCACCACCATACTGTATGGGATCAATCACCATGCAATCTGCTGCCACAGGACTGAACAACTGGGAATTCCCCCATTTTGTTTTACATAAACTGCATCTCCAGTTGTAGACACGACTTTAAACAATGAACAACACACCCGGACAACCTTTTTCTTTTGGTGTAGAGTACTGGCCATCTGCTTGCAGAAAGCAAGTCAGATCAGCAGCGAATAACAGAAAAGAAACAGATTGGGCTTAAAATGTCCTTTTCCCCCACCCTGCTCAAAAAAAGTCGATAAATATAGGATATATATGTAAGGTTAAAAATTTAATACTAAGCCAGGTGCAGTATAGGGTACTGGTTTAGTGCTCAGTTGCCTTTTGTGGGGGGGGAGGGGGACACTGACTAGAATACAGTGGATAAGGAAAGTTCTCCACCAGGAAGAGAAATACTTGTGTTGCCACAAAAAATTGTTTATACTGTCCATCTGTGTTTGCAGTGGGATTAAGCTACATTAGGAAAGGATTTACAGTGTACTTGTCCCGTAGACGCATATGGCTGAGTTGTATCAGAAACTGCTTCAAGAACAAACTATGACAACTGCATGGTGTTCTGCTGGCCATGTCCTAAACAGAATATGATGTATTGCCATTGGCTAAGACAATTCAGTTATGATACATGGAAAATGGTATTGAGAGGACAAGTGTAAGACAATAATTGGGCAAAAAAGTTGATGACTCAAGAGAGAAACAGTCGCCTTTAAAATAAAGGGAATAATGTTGATGAAGTTTACAAACAAGTTCCTAAAAATACAAAAAGGCACATTTACATCACTGGGTGGCTGAATAATATGCACTAAATTC